GTAAGTGTAGATGTTGAGAATATAGTACAAAGTTTTATGCCTTATATAATCAGTGGCAGCAAAACGTGGAAGACCCAGTATGTCTCCAGAACCACAACATGCCCACAGACCACGAGTTCAGGATGCAGGGCCTCTACCTGAAGTGCAGTATGATATGGTTACGAATTATGATGAGAAGACAGAGACCACCAGATGCAAGAGGCCATACTGCATAGGGGAAACACATGTATTCTGTGACAAATGCAACATCCACCTTTGCTTTGTGCCACACAGAAACTGCTTCAAGGCTGCTCATCGCAAATGAGAGAATATATGGGAATATCCAGCAGATGTATTTTTGTTATTTTCCATTTGTTAGTAATTGTGTGATCTCTTATTAGCTTACAATGTTAAAAGTTAGCAATGCGTTTGGAAGTTCCATGATAACTGAATGAAAAACTGATTTCTTGGGGTTACATTGCCCACAATCATCCAACCCATTCAATCCGCCAACCTTTTTTAATCTAAGATTTCATGGCATTTTACGTTCATTTAGTCATGGCGTCCATTGTAATGGACATTAAAAAATACCAATAAAAATATGAGTTATCAAAAAAGTTTTTCCCCCCTTTATTTCTATGCTGGAAGGGAGTAAAAATCAACTGGGAATTTTTTTTTTGCTCAGCAGAAAAAAATCAGGTCTGAAGGGGCTAGTGAGCCAAACTGAGAGACCATTTTGAAGGCTCAGGAAACCTTTGCAGGTGTTTTGAGTTGATTAGCTGATTGGCATGTCACCATATTCTAATTTGTTGAGATAGTGAATTGGTAGGTTTTTGTTAAATGTGAGCCAAAATCATCACAATTAAAAGAACCAAAGACTTAAACTACTTCAGTCTGTGTGCATTGAATTTATTTGATACACAAGTTTCACAATTTGAGTTGAATTACTGAAATAAATGAACTTTTCCACGACATTCTAATTTATTGAGATGCACCTGTAATTGTTCTCGAATATACCAAAATTACATAAACATCTAGTTTGGTCAAATAAGAGAACTACAGCTGATGTTCTGAACATTTTTCCTCATTAATGTGTTTTACATAAAAATGTACACTTCTCGTAAAGCAGGCATATCTAGCAAAGCCACATGCATCTGCTCTATCGCCAGCCACCTTTCTGTTCATCCTCATAGACCTTGACACCCTGCTGCGAGAGGTCTTTGGGGAGCAGTGTGTTAGTGGACAGGACTTTGGTCTTGCCAGTCACCAGGTCCTTCTCAACTGTGATCTCTACGGAGTACATCGCTGCAGTGCCAACGAAAGAACACATTACCATCCTGCAATGATGCACGGTCACACTCACATAAAGTCACTGAACACACACACATACACACACTGTTTAGGCCAGTTGCTTTCTATATTCAAAAAGCCAGTGAAGTGTGATTTTAAGAGACTGGTGAGCTCTATGACAATAATAATGCAGAATGAGGTGTGGAAAGACAGATAGTATGACTGATGACTACATGGTGAGTTTTTTTCTGTTCTAATTTAATGTATGATAAATTATCTTAATTAGAGATTAGAAATAATTGTAACTTTAGATAAAACAAGAACCTAAAAATAAAAAAGCAGAACTTAGTAATTCCTTATATATTATATATTCAAAAAAGCATAATATAATGTGTACTTATATATATATATATATATATATATATATATAAAGACTAAAAAAACAGTCTGTCTGTGTGCAAAACATATATTGTTTTGTGTTAATTCTATCACAGAAAAATTGAATTAAAGCTGTGATATGGTTTCTGAGGCAATGCTGCCATGGTAACCTGATCCATTAGTAGTACAACTTCTAAAAATAGCTGTTTTTATTTAATAGATGTTTTTCTGCTTTTCAACTTTATATGTGTGTGAGGGATGATGTGGTGTGTATGCCAGACACACAAAGACACACACACATGCAAACACACATCAGCTGAAAGAACAGATAATTAGAAGACAAGATTAGATGAAACCAGTACAGGATTAAAACACTGATATAGGACAATATATAAGACCCACAAGTGTTTATTTAATAAATTAGTCATACGTTTCAGTCCAGAACACAGCAGGGACAAATATACCCTCCCAAGCAACCAGAAAGAAACAACTCACCCAGGAACAGCTGTCAATAAATCCACTTTACATTTATCTGACTACAGAGGGGTGGCCGATATGACCAAAATCTTCACAATATGAGTCATTTTATTTCATGGTAACGATATATATATCACAATATAGTTGTTTTTGCTTTAAATAAGGTCTTATTTAATTATGATATCAAAATGTTTAATACCATAGAAATATCATAATTCTTGTCACCAGTGTCAATATCACAAAAAACTAATCCTAGCCTTAAAAAAATAAAAATAAAAATAATTGAGAGGCAGTCAAAAAACACACACACACATTGACCATAGAGAAGTTATTCTGCGCACACTTAAAGACTGAGCATTATGGATACGAGTTGTATGACTTGGCGGCTGTCCAGCTCCTAAAGGCTCTTGGCATTTACTGCACACTGCGCTGCAGGCCTCGGACATTCCTGCCTCTCCCAGCTGTTACTGATCAAACCACTGAAGATGGCTGTCTTCTTCCTTTCTGACAAGTCAAATAACATTCTTTATGCGCTAATATAACGTTATATACTGTATTTTGATTCATGCATACCAGTTCATGAATGCCAGCTCTGTTTTCTCTAGGCTACTTTCAGGACTCAACAATGATGATTTTTGTATATAATATATTGTATATAATATATAATACTTTAAATATTGTTTAAATTGTCTTATTTATCTTTTCCATTAATAAAATGTTGATTCATTCATTCATGCATTCTATTGTTTTTACAAAAAGCCATTTATAACAAACTAAATCCACTTTACATTTATCTGACTACAGAGGGGTGGCCGATATGACCAAAATCTTCACAATATGAGTCATTTTATTTCATGGTAACGATATATATATCACAATATAGTTGTTTTTGCTTTAAATAAGGTCTTATTTAATTATGATATCAAAATGTTTAATACCATAGAAATATCATAATTCTTGTCACCAGTGTCAATATCACAAAAAACTAATCCTAGCCTTAAAAAAATAAAAATAAAAATAATAATAAAAAAACTCAAGCTCACTGAAGACAAGTAAACAGTCAGCGATTAAATGCGAATAAGAAACTAATTACAAGCAATAGGACATAAACTACAGTAGAACAAATAAATAAGAAATGCTAAATACATTGTATAATGTAATCAAATGTATAAAAACACTGCATATTCGTCACTGTGTAAATTAAATATATTTTTCCTCTTATTAAAGTTACAAAAGTGATTTAGTCAAGAGCACTGAGAGATTTTCTCTCTTTTGTTATATGATTAACATGAATAACAGACAGCAGGGATATTAGACTGCTGTCACTTTAAGAGCTACTCTGATCCAATATACTGTTACACATTTTCTTTCTCAGCAGTTTGCTTTCACTTAAGACCTACTGTGTTTACAAAGATACTTGCAAAGACGTGCATTTTGACACATAAAAGTGTGTTTATTTAACCGTTGAAGGCATATAAAGCTCATTTTGCTACACATATAGCAAAATTAGTTCTCTTTCGCTGCTGATTGCGTTTCGGCGGCTTAAAATCACTTGTTTTTAAACCACAATGCTTAAAAACACATGCAAACGATACGTTTAGGTGACCACATAGCACAGCAACATTACGTGAATGTGTAACTGCAATAGAGACGATAGTCCAAAATCTCTACCGGTTGACAATTTTCTACCGGTATATCGCCCACCCCTACTAAAGAGCAGAATTTAAATCTTAATACTTTTAAAAAGCTTTTTCTGATAGGTCTAAAGGGGTTAGTTCACCCAAAAATGAAAATTCTGTCATTAATTACTCACCCTCACATCGTTCCAAACCCGTAAGACCTTCGTTCATCTTTGGAACACAAATTAAGATATTTTTGATGAAACAAAAATAACAACTTTATTAAAAAATTCTTCTCCCCCGAGTTACCATCTTCCGCCATTTTGGAGAGAACCACGCCGCATATGCACGCTTTCTCCTGAACGTAAACAACGTTTGACAAAAGTCGTTATTTTTGTTTTCTTTGCACACAAAAAGTATTCTTGTAACTTCACAAAATTGAAGTTGAGCCACTGATGTCACATGGACTGTTTTACCGATGTCCTTGCTACGTTTCTGGACCTGGGGACATTTCAGTTGTGTTGCTGTCTATGGGAGGGTCAGAGAGGGATTAGTGGTCGACCGATATTGGTTTTTTGACAGCCGATGCCGATATCTTGGAAAGCAGGGTGGCCGATGGCCCATATAAAGCCAATATAATTGTATTTATTTTAATTAATATTTAAGAAATTTGAAATAATTTGAAAATATATAAAAAATTTATTTGTAAAATAATAATAAAGTATTTTCCACAAATAAATAAATATCTGTTAAAAATATAATTGAAAAGGAAATAAACTGTAACCAACAACTCAGTATTCTGGGAAGTTTGTGTGCATTGGGAATCATATTTTTTCAAATAAAGCCAAGGTAGCACTCATTTTACATACAGCACACAGTGAAAATTACATGAATATGACAGTGGGCAAATGCATAAAGCGCAGAATCACGATATTAATGTTTAAAGCATTCAATTTGCACGGACCGAAAGTCATGCAGAGAACACGCGATCATGCAGGTCACATGCACACTTCACAAGATCTCACAACTGGATTCGACTAAGTTTGCAAAGTTTGTGAAATAAAATTTTCATTAGCAATTCAAAGATTTGTTTTAAATTATATAAATGCGTATTTGCTGAATGCTGACGGCAAACGAGAAAGTATTATAATGTTTGCCTTTCTATTACTAATAATATAAAAGCAATTGTTATAATACTTTTTGTATACATTTTAATTTCTTTGTTTAACAGTTCTTTCTGATTATTAGACAGACTTCTATCCGTATTAGACAGAACTGTTAACAACGACAGCGAACAAGAGGGAGAATGTGAGTACTGTATGCTCAGGCGTTGCCGTTCTCAGCGCCGTCAAATAAAAGTCAGGCGCGCTGTCAAAATAAAAGTCCCGCCTCGAACGCATCGGCCAAACAGAAAAACTTATCGGCCGATGCCGATATTTCAAAAATGCCAAACATCGGCCGATATATTGGCCTTGGCGATATATCGGTCTACCACTATCTCAGATTTCATCAAAAATATCTTAATTTGTGTTCCGAAGATAAACGGAGGTCTTACGGGTTTAGAACACCACGAGGGTGAGTAATTAATGACAGAATTTTTATTTTTGGGTGAACTATCCCTTTAAGTTTTTTCAGAAGTTCTAAAAAAGCACAGTTTTGCTTTTGGTCTGTATTTCACTCAGAAAAACAAGGATCACCACAAAGTTCTGAACATGATATTGATAATAAGAAAAGACAGAGCAGTTTAAGTGCTTCTTTATCTCAGAATTAAAGAGGTAAAGGGTAAAACAGCAGGAAGAGTGTGTGATCTCTGCGTGAGCTACGATTGGATCAACACTCACCTGCTCTCATCATGTCAGAGACACCTCCGGATTTCTCCAGACGAGGGCTGACGTGTACTTTGACCTCTAATAGGGTCATGAACGAGGACACAGAAGGACAGAGAATGATAAAAAGGTATAAGAAGCAAGAGTGTAGTATAGGGGAGAGAGAGGGATGATGGGAAGGAGGAAGTACTACAGTAGACACTACAATGTCCTTCACCACAGTCAATATGTCAAGGATAACTGCAGAAACTGATCTTTTGGCTGTGTAACTTTTAAATGGCTGCTCTTGAGATTTACGTTTAAATTCTGATCAAATGTTGCTCATGAAAAGGCTATTTTAAGTGTTGTTTCTGGTGTCAGAGATGATGACGTTACCTGTTACAGAGTCTGTCACAGAGTCCATCACAATCTGCAAAAATAAGACAGAGAGAGAGAGAAATAGATGTTCAAATCTTATATGACTGATCCAAATTATACATGTTTGTATTAAATATGAATTATACAAATACTGTCGTTTGTTATTGTGAACACATCATCTTTTCTGTGTGCATCAAGAGTACTATATCAGATGAGAAATGCAGTTTCAGATTTTTATAGGGTTAGATTATTAATTGTGCAATTTTTGCACCAAAAGAACATTTTCACTTTTAAAAAATCTCTCAATTTCGAGGTAAAGGGTACCACCCCAATGACAGCTTTTGTTCCTTTTTTACATACACACATAAAATGCTAGCTATGAAATTAGCCTTAAAAAGACATAAGAGTCAGTCACGTAGTTCCAAAAATGCTTAAAATGTAATTTCCACCACCATCATTAATATTATAAAATCAAACAGTATTATTATTTTATATTATTGTGTAAAAATGACTTTTCTCCTTAATATTTTGTAGACACCTGATACATTTTTTCGACTATTCTTGTATGTATAGAAAGTTCAAAAGAACAGCATTTATGTAACATTATAAAAGGCACTATTGATCAGTTTAAAGCATTCTTGCTAAATAAAAGTATTAATTTATTTTTTATTACTTTTACATTTTAGAATATATTATGTATAATGAATATGTTTTAATTAATAAATATTACTATATTATAAATTATTAATGTAATAAAATAAATATTGAAAAAAATAAATAATTAAAGGATCTGCGCATGTTCTCATTTATATTCATTATTTACATTACTATTATTTACATATTTTTAGGTTACGGGAACACAATTCATCCTTTGAGATATGATGTAAATAAGGTAAAAGTGAGGTAAATAAACTAGGGTGAAAAGTGTACATTTTATCTATAAAACATCTACCCACAGTTGAAGACTCTTCTGTGGAAATCTATTCAAATAAAAAATACTTTGAACAACAGTCCTGATGACAAAACACATAAACGGTAAGCACTAGAGATCAGCAGGCACTAGACAGTGACATATGATGTACTTTAGAGGATACTGACCACCAAAGAAAAGGCTAATCAGAGAAAATCATTTGTGTTGTAGCAGCGTCGCCGCTCTGAATGCAGCACCAGTGAGGGCAAAAGTTTGTCAGTCCTGCATGTTTAGCACTCACTGCTTGAGTGAGACTGATTCCTGCACTGTAACCAGTAAGATCCATCTCTTCCCTTAATCAAGATGGCCTTTGTGTAGCCGGACAGGAGACGGTCCCCCATTGTGTGTCATGCACTAAAGCTTTGAATAGAAGCCTCTGGATCCCCTGCTGCCCACCCTGGTGTGAAGTTTATGGGCTAGAAAGAGCTGCTGGTTAAACGCACCATTTTTTCGACTGTCTTGATGTTGACTTCCTGTACTGCGTCTGACAGGTTCTCTTTGGTGGATGTTGCAGACACACCTGTCTCTAGCTCCTCCAGCTCTCTCTCCAGTCTGTGCTCGAAGAAAAGAAGATGGACATTCAGTTTATAAAGCACATTTTAGGTTAACTTTACTATATTTTTTTTATCTTTAAGAAAAAAGAAGTTGTTTAAGTTGTGAGTGTGTGTGTGTATATATTTATTTATATATATATATATATATATACACACACACAGACACACACGCGCACACACAGTCTTTAGTGTCACATGGTTCTTCAAACGTCATAATAATATGCTGATTTGGTGCTCAGTTATTAATAATAGAGTTATTATTATTATTATTAATAAAATAATATTATGTAATTATATAAAATATTATTTTACTTTATAATATTATATTAATAATAATAATAATAATAATGTAAAATAGTAAATGTAAAATAGTTTTTGCTGCTTAAAATGGAAATCTTGTGTAACATTATAAATGTCTTCACTGTCACTTTTGATGATTTATGCATACTTGAATGATAGTATTAATGAAATTACAATTCTAATGAAGTAATAACTTTTGTATTATATTTACAAATAAAAATATATTATGTATAATTAATATATGAATTAATTAATAAATAGGCTATTGCTATGTAAAAGATTCAATATAATATAATAAATATATTAAATATATATATTTTAAATGATTATAGGATGTGCACCTGTTCCCATTTATCTTTATTATTTACACAATTATCTGTAGGTGAGGGAAAAAATTATGTAAAATATTTTAATACAATTATAATAAATAAATAAATACATAAAAATAATAAATTAATGGATCGGCACTAATTAAAATAATATATACATCATATATACATAAATGCACTAATACAGTTAATCTATATACATACATATATAATGATATGCACCAATTCAAATTTTATATTTTTATATTTTTCACGACCCCTTTCTGAGTGTGTTTTCCACACCAGGCCTTATTGGCATTGGCTGTTCACTGGCCTGACTCATTGGTTGGCATACCAGTCCTGTGCCAGAGGCCCTTACAGCCAGAGCAGAGATTTAATCAGGCAATGGAGACCCAGACTGACCGCTCTGCCAGCAGAAAGACCCATGGCACTTTTTCACCATTAGGAATAAACTCAAGACAAATCGGAAAAGAAAGATCTTGGCCACTAGATCCATATTACACAGTCCAGGCTGATGGATCCCACATTAGGGACTTGCTATCTAACCACAGCTGGACTAGAAAAACTTCTGTTTTCTACTCCCTTCATAAAAACTGTCTCCTTATATAAAACATGTGAATACAGCTCTTCATCACACTGGTGCGGCTGGTTTACCTGAGAATGGTCTCCTCAAGACCTCTGGTTTTGGCCTCATCTTCCCGCAGCTGTTTTGTGGTCCCGTCTTCCTCCGGTCCTGCAGAGGGTGCACCATCCAGCAGCCATCTTTCCCTCAGTGCCTTTGACTGCAAAAAATGCTAAATTTATGTAAGCAAGAATATACTCTAATATATGCAGAATATACTCTGCAGCTTGTGTGTGGCACAGAGCAGATGCTTTCAGTTTAGAATTGTCGAGAATTTTTCAGCTAAACAATTTTTTTTATTATTTTTATTAAAAGAAGCATAACAACAGTGGGGGCGGTAATGTAATGTAATGTGCCCCAATGCAGCCCTCTACACCAAATAACATTTGTACTCCCAATTGGGTTCAGATTTAGACATAATTTGTTTCTGCGCTGCAACTGACCAATCAGAACCAAGTATTCCAGCTAGATACAATAATGTTGCACCTATTATTTTACGTATCTTATGCTCATCAAGGCTACATTTTTTTTACATATTTGATCAAAAGTTAAATACTGTAAAATATTCTTTCAATTTAAAATAACTGTTTTCTATTTTTCTAAAATGTAATTTATTCCTGTGATGCAAAGCTGAATTTTCAGCATCACTACTCCAGTCTTTAGTGTCACATGATCCTCCAAAAATCATTTTAACATGCTGATTTGCTGCTAAGTTATTATCAATTATCATTGGTTGATTATTATCAATGTTAAAAGCTGTTTTTGCTGCTTAATATTTTTGAGATACTTTTTTAAAGACAGTTCAAAAGAACAGCATTTATTTGACGCAGAAATCTTTTGTAACATTATAAATGTCTTTACTGTCACTTTTGATCAATTTAGTGTGTCCCTGCTGAATAAAAGTATTCATTTCTTTTTTAAACTAAATATTACTTATCCCCAAACCTTTGAATGGTAGTTTCAAATACAGTTACAGTTTCTACAAACATGTAATGCAGCAAAATCTGTTTTGAATAATCACGAGACATGTTTCTTGAGCAGCGAATCATCATATCAGAATGATTTCTGGAGGATCATGTGACACTGAAGACTGGAGTAATGATGCTGAAAATTCAGCTTTGCATCACAGGAATAAATTACATTTAAATATTTTAAATATATATATAAAAAAAAACAACCTTCAAACTGTAATAGTATTCTGTTTACTACTTTTTAAACTGTATTTTTGATCAAATAAATGCAGCCTCGGTGAGCATAAGAGACATCTTTCAAAAACATTAAAAAGCCTTAATTATTCCAAGTTTTTGACCGGTAGTGTAATTAATGCAATGTGCGATGCGATGGACTGAAAACAGCTTCAGGTTGTAAAAATGGAGACTCATTGCCTCACTCAATGTACTGTACACAAGTCTTCACTCATTTGGAGAAGAAAGAAAAATCACACTTTGGGAAAACTGAAAGTTTAAGTGACTTCGATTTAGAAAGTGATGAAAATGTACATGCCAAAGGGAAAAAAACCCCCTGAAGATAAAAGTGATTCGTGCATCAGTTGAACAATGATGCATGTCCCAAAAGAGCTTCAATTCTGTTATCGCCTGCCTTTGGAGATCTCCTATGAGAGAAGAGATCTTTACTAACCAAATAGTGCACAGCTCTTGCTCTCAGAGCCTGAATTATTCAGCTAATTGGCACTAAAATCTAAGTGTCGAGCTGGCACTAAGCTGCCTTGGCACCAAACCAGGCACTGCTCTGATTTACTCTTTGAAACTGATCTTACCATCTTCCTCTGACTCTCAGAGCTTGATGTTTGCTTACTAGTAGCATCAAACTACATGGCAATTTGTTTGCCATTCACAAACCACGTAAGATGTGTGCATATGCATATGCTGCCCTGTCCAGCTCATTAGCAGCAGCCAGTAAAATCCGCAGCTGAGCACAGTCACTCTAAAACGTAAAACTGAATATATTCTGGGCGGGGCAATAATGGTGCTGTGCAAACCTTTTACAGTAACTCATACAAAACCAATCCAATATCACTTCAATTGAGCTTTTTGCTGATTTTAGTATTCTGCAGCACTTCATGTTGATTATTTCATCGCAATATGTGACCCTGGACCACAAAACCAGTCATAAGGGTAATTTTTTTAAAATTTAGATTTATAAATTAGAAATTTGAAAGCTCTTGGTGCATAAAGAAGATCTGTAAAGTTGCTAAGACTAAAGTCTCAAATCCAAATTATAATTTAGAAAGCTAAATATTAATAAGCTTTCCATTGATGTATGGTTTGTTAGGATAGGACAATATTTGGCCGAGATACAACTATATGAAAATCTGGAATCTGAGGGTGCCAAAAAAATCTAAATACTGAGAAAATCCCCTTTAAAGTTGTCCAAATGAAGTCCTTAGCAATGCATTTTAGTAATCAAAAATTAAGTTTTTATATATTTACGGTAGGAAATTTACAAAATATCTTCATGGAGCATGAGCTTTACTTAATGTCCTAATGATTTTTGGCATAAAAGAAAAATCGATCATTTTGACCCATACAATGTATTTTTTTTGGCTATTGCTACAAATATACCCCAGCGACTTAAGACTGGTTTTGTGGTCCAGGGTCACATATATGGATGTATGAGAGGCAGTCAAAAAACACACACACACATTGACCATAGAGAAGTTATTCTGCGCACACTTAAAGACTGAGCATTATGGATACGAGTTGTATGACTTGGCGGCTGTCCAGCTCCTAAAGGCTCTTGGCATTTACTGCACACTGCACTGCAGGCCTCGGACATTCCTGCCTCTCCCAGCTGTTACTGATCAAACCACTGAAGATGGCTGTCTTCTTCCTTTCTGACAAGTCAAATAACATTCTTTATTTGCTAATATAACGTTATATACTGTATTTTGATTCATGCATACCAGTTCTTGAATGCCAGCTCTGTTTTCTCTAGGCTACTTTCAGGACTCAACAATGAGGATTTTTGTATATAATATATTGTATATAATCATGTAAATATTTTCTAAATATTTACTGTATGTGTGTGTATTTATATATACATAATAAATATACACAGTACACATACATAAATTATGTAAAGAAAAACGTTTGGATGCGATTAATCGTTTGACAGCACTAGTATATATGATATATATATATGTGTGTGTGTGTAAATAGTATAATATATATAATAAAAATCAACAAATACAAATTTATGAAAACAATTAAAAAAAAACTAGAAAAATTACAAAATTAATAAAACTTTAACAAATTAAAAGAAAAAAAGAAAAGAAAAGAAAATAGAATATAATACAATACAACATTATCTGTGTTAGCCAGTTACAAAATATTATTTCGGTAAGCACATGTATGATCAAATGATGCATGATATATTAAGTGGCACTGGTCTATATAAAACAATCAAATCATTATAAGAGTTATTCAAATTATGTCATATCTCTTTTATGTTGCACTTCACATTTTTGTTTCTTTGTTTTCTTTCATCTCCGTTTTCATTTTTGCCTGAGCTGCCACCTCCCACTCCCTAGAGACCTACTGTAGGAGAGTGTATACTGACCACACACACACACACACACACACACACACACACACACACACAAGCGCGTCTTTACTGACACGATGCAATCAAAAGCACAGAACAAAGCGCACAGGCTCCCATGTGCTTTCAGGGGCTGAGCCATTGTTTTTCAAAGTAAAACGGATGCAGCTTTTTGTGCAACAGCTTAAAACAAAGACTTTTTTCTGCTCGTAAGAGTTCACCGCTCTCGATCCTGTGTCACGTGACATGTGTTAACCCATCCCACTAATCAAACCACACCTATCCAGTCCACATCATTAACATCCTGTACTGATCACCCCGGGATGTCAGACATTCTTTAATCAGTCTGGAGTTACAGATGAGCCAATTAAAACAAGGGAAGCTTTGGAGCCAAAATACTGACAAAGAATGAGTATGATAGCTAATATACATTATACAGACATGCAGGCTTCAGCAAGACTTGGCCAGAGGCCGGAACCAGCACAGCTTCGGAGCTCAAGTGGTTGGAATTGTTCTATATTCAGGCAGAACACTATGAACCTTATCTTAGATCGGCAAAAGCCTGCTCATATGTCAGATAGCATGTGTTTTCGGGACTCTCAGAGGCCCCTCCATATTTCAGTGACCCACAGCCCACTATTCACTGGCCATTCATCTCTCTCTCTTTTTCTCTCCCTCTGCATTTTGCTGACTCTGAATGGGAGCTCCATAGAAACTGCTAATGAGGAGAGTTTTTGGATCTTATCTCTGGCCAGCGCAGCAAAGTCTCTCAGCCACAGCTGACCGCCTCAAAAACACATACAGAAAAACACAGCCAACTTCCACAAAGCAGCACTGACAATAATTATTGAAATGTTTATCAAGTGAGTTACAAAATGTTAATAATATTTGAAATAAATCACAATTAATTATATATTCGTATCTGCAGCCTCCAAATGAAGACAATGCAAAGACATTACATTGACGTAGCAGATGAACGCATTGAAAAAGCATCAGTTTTACATTAATGTTTCTCAGAAAGAAACAAGATACATTTTGGTACTGGGTCATGTTGCCCTGTCCAAATACCCACACTTGCATTCTTGGCCACTTGAGAGCGCGTGCGCGTGACAGGAAGTAAGTGCGCAAGACTGTCCCAGGTCTTAAAAACACCAAAGCGCAGTGCCCTTAACACACACTAAATCCACACTATCTCGAATAGAAGCTATTCGAGGCTTAGTGTATCTCATCATGCATCATGTTCTGGAAATAAATCGTGAGACTTTTTGTCGAGATCTCGTGAGAGGTCACGGAAACCTTTCCAATGCAAGTTAAATATTCATATTATTAATATAATTAGATATTATTACATATCATTTGGTAGAAAAAGAAAGTGTTGCACGTTTTATTGGTCACACACACACACACACACACACACACACACACACACAAGCGCGTCTTTACTGACACGATGCAATCAAAAGCACAGAACAAAGCGCACAGGCTCCCATGTGCTTTCAGGGGCTGAGCCATTGTTTTTCAAAGTAAAACGGATGCAGCTTTTTGTGCAACAGCTTAAAACAAAGACTTTTTTCTGCTCGTAAGAGTTCACCGCTCTCGATCCTGTGTCACGTGACATGTGTTAACCCATCCCACTAATCAAACCACACCTATCCAGTCCACATCATTAACATCCTGTACTGATCACCCCGGGATGTCAGACATTCTTTAATCAGTCTGGAGTTACAGATGAGCCAATTAAAACAAGGGAAGCTTTGGAGCCAAAATACTGACAAAGAATGAGTATGATAGCTAATATACATTATACAGACATGCAGGCTTCAGCAAGACTTGGCCAGAGGCCGGAACCAGCACAGCTTCGGAGCTCAAGTGGTTGGAATTGTTCTATATTCAGGCAGAACACTATGAACCTTATCTTAGATCGGCAAAAGCCTGCTCATATGTCAGATAGCATGTGTTTTCGGGACTCTCAGAGGCCCCTCCATATTTCAGTGACCCACAGCCCACTATTCACTGGCCATTCATCTCTCTCTCTTTTTCTCTCCCTCTGCATTTTGCTGACTCTGAATGGGAGCTCCATAGAAACTGCTAATGAGGAGAGTTTTTGGATCTTATCTCTGGCCAGCGCAGCAAAGTCTCTCAGCCACAGCTGACCGCCTCAAAAACACATACAGAAAAACACAGCCAACTTCCACAAAGCAGCACTGACAATAATTATTGAAATGTTTATCAAGTGAGTTACAAAATGTTAATAATATTTGAAATAAATCACAATTAATTATATATTCGTATCTGCAGCCTCCAAATGAAGACAATGCAAAGACATTACATTGACGTAGCAGATGAACGCATTGAAAAAGCATCAGTTTTACATTAATGTTTCTCAGAAAGAAACAAGATACATTTTGGTACTGGGTCATGTTGCCCTGTCCAAATACCCACACTTGCATTCTTGGCCACTTGAGAGCGCGTGCGCGTGACAGGAAGTAAGTGCGCAAGACTGTCCCAGGTCTTAAAAACACCAAAGCGCAGTGCCCTTAACACACACTAAATCCACACTATCTCGAATAGAAGCTATTCGAGGCTTAGTGTATCTCATCATGCATCATGTTCTGGAAATAAATCGTGAGACTTTTTGTCGAGATCTCGTGAGAGGTCACGGAAACCTTTCCAATGCAAGTTAAATATTCATATTATTAATATAATTAGATATTATTACATATCATTTGGTAGAAAAAGAAAGTGTTGCACGTTTTATTGGTGCAAAGATGAGTAGTGGTGATATTTATTTTGTACAACATTTGCAACTGCTTTTCATCACATAATTAGAAGCACCACAAATTAAATTGTATCATGTTGTAGAGACTACTGAACAGACATTTAGAAGTTGATTTTAAAGTGCAAAGTATTTAAAATAAAAACAAAGCTATGTAAACGCTTGCATTTTTACAACACTATAAGCGTGTCCCATCAGGTAATGAAAACACTTGGCACAAATACAGGAAATACGTCATTATAAGTAGTCAAGTGGTCAAGTGCAAAGACCGCAAGTGTGGGTATTTGGACAAGGGGTCAGTCTCCCACATGAGTACCAAATCTCAATGTAAGATTTCACAGTAAAATTCCTATAATAAATGTAAGCTATGTTCAAAACGCAATACTAGCATATTGTTTACTGCATACTATGAAGTATACACTTTACGATAGTAGTATGTGAACAAGTATGCAACAAAGAAACATTTCAAACAATAGTACACTCTAAAAAATGCTGGGTTGTTTCAACCCAATGTTGGGTCAAATATGGACTAACCCAACTGTTGGGTTAAATTTTGGTTACATTTTTAAATTAGCTTTTTAACCCAACAGTTGGGTTAGTCCATATTTGACCCAACATTGGGTTGAAACAACCCAGCATTTTTTGGAGTGTATTGTTGTGACATCACTGTTTAATTTAGACACAGCGTTTAAAAAATATTTGTATGTATATATATTTATACATGTATTTCATTTATATTATATACAAATATAAATACTTTATATATAAATCTAACATATGTTTCGATTAAAAAATTATGTTTTATTGTTTCATTTTAGTTAACAACACCACAGGAAATGGAAGGTCAATTCCAGAGCACTGCATTGTGGAATACAGTCTTTTGGTATTTCCGGTGGATATGAATTTTGGCAAATGCAGTAGGGCATCCACGTATATGCATACAAAAAAACCCTGCATACTACACACAGTATGCATACTGCATACTACAGATGTAGTATAAATAGTATGGTAGCCTGTTATTCCAAACATATGCAGACTATGATATATGTGTGTATGTTATTTTAGTTTTTCTGAAATACTCTTTTAGTCTTGAATCAGATTTTATTGTAATATTTTCAGTTTTTGGTGTGCCTGATGAAGTCCTGTCTGACTGAAATGCGCTGTTTGGGAAAATTTCGGTGTGTGGAATTTTTTTTTCTTTGTTTAATATTTTCTGTTTTCACTTTAATTTTATTTAAACCTTTGGTAATTTTGATATGTTTTGTCATTTTTTATTATTTTCAATTTTTTAGTTTTTTGGTATTTTAGTATTATTATTTAAGCTTACATTTTTATAATCCAGACAGACAGACAGATAGACAGATAGATAGATAGATAGATAGATAGACAGACAGATAGATAGATGGATGGATGGACGGATGGATGGATGGATGGATGGATGGACGGACGGACGGACGGACGGACGGACAGACAGACAGACAGACAGACAGACAGACAGACAGACAGACAGACAGACAGATAGATAGACAGATAGATTTCTATTCAATTTGAAGCTTATGTTTTGTTAGTGAAAATCTGGAATAGTCCAGAAATATGACCTCTGAGACCTACAGAACAGTAGAAATGAAATCTGTTAAAGGTCTCAAAAATAACAATGACTGCCAAGATGCAGGTTAAAATGGTGCTTTCCCACAAAGCAAGAAGGGAAAAGTTTGAGAAATGAGTCTGAGATTTGATTCATGCCGAGTTTGATTGAGCAAGAGATGAAAATATTCCGCTTTGGAGTGAAACTGCAATAATTCCTCATAAATTTTGTGCAACTGATTCCAAGAAGAGCAGAAAATGGCTGAAGAACCGTGTTAATGTTGACCATGTCCTCTGTGGCTCAAGCAGGAGACACAAACGCCAGCGTTCTCCCTAATGACAAATTAAGTCTGTTTTCCCATCAGGAACATCCTCATTCAACTCATTCCCTCATTTCTTGTCCACACATACAATTTTCCTTGTTCATTCGCAAAGGGCCCGGCCCCAAAGATCTTCCAGACAGTAAAACGGACCCCTGCTGACATCCCCGTCTGCTGAAGGACACAGCTGTAGCGGCGGCCCCTATATGGCGCATTTGAAAGCTGAGGTGAGATGCCGTCAGGGAAAAGAAGAATGTGAAGGCTGTTCTCCGACCCGCCGCACTTACATTCCCTTCCCCCAACATGAGTAAAACACAACACCTGTACAAACAGCCTGTCGGAGGAACTGAACGGGTGACACAGCAGCTGAGAGCGCAGCTAATGCTCAACCTGGCACACTATTATGCAAACATCCTTATGGAAGGAAATATGACTGTTTGAATGACATTTAAAGCTGATATTACAAGTCATATGGACTACAGAACCTACCATGCTTTTACTCTGAACTGTGTTTGCTCTGTATAGTGAATTTCAGATATCCAAACCATCATTCATCATTACATCATCGAAGAACATTATCACTGACATCAGTTTAGCGCAAGTTTAAGCACTCTCAAAAAACTCCAGTGAAGCTTTCTTCGTTGTGAAATAAATTTCTTACTTGCATTGTACGTGCGTCTGCACTTCATTGTTTATGATGAGAAAAATTCACGAGAGTGCAGAATTCAGTCACCGAGCGCATGCACTGAATAAAACCCGACATTAATAAAAAGAAATATCAATGCTGCAATCAACACTTTTCATCTTATTTTCATTTTCACTTCATTTGCAACAGACGTAATAGATTTAGTTTACTTGTGCAGGGGCATCTTTGTCCAATTTGGTGCACATCTTACCTCCATATATAATGTCGCAGGTTTGTTTACAGTTTTCCAAATTCAGCCAGTGACTGTTTTCAAACAGGCTATAAATAACAACAATAATATCAAAAATACAATAAAATAATATTAATAATAATAATAATAATTATTATAATAATTATTATTATTATTATAAATAAATAAAATAATACATTACGAAATTGTTCTATTGTAATTTATTATTTAATAAAATGATATAATAATAATAGTAACAACAATAATTTTATTTTACATTATGATTACGATTCGATAATCACACTAAGTCATATCGCAATTTCAGTTTTATTTTGATTAATTGTGCAGCCCTAATACTGATCTAGCTACCCATCAGGTTGCTTAAATATCAACACAGTGTCAATGCGAAAGCTGAAAAGGAGAAGCAGTTTGTTAGCTTCACAAGCAGTAAAAAAAAATGGCACGTCCTGATTTTGCTGAGTTAGTTGTGTTCCTAGGTCAACATATTTTGTTGACCCTGGAACAGCATTTTAATTCAAAAATTTATTCTTGACCATATCCCTACACCTAAGCCTAAACTTAACCATGAGTAATCCCTAAAATAAGAGGAAATGATAGATGAATGACACTGATGTACAAGCACCAAACACACAAAGATGTTGATCCAGGAACATGTCGCACTTGGTAAAATCAGGTTCTGCTAAAAAAAAAAAAATGCTTTACAAAAAGAAAACGTTCCCAACAAATTGAGCTCAAATTGAGAGCATCCCCCAGTCGTCTGTCCAGAAGAGGAAATGATAGATGAATGACACTGATGTACAAGCACCAAACACACAAAGATGTTGATCCAGGAACATGTCGCACTTGGTAAAATCAGGTTCTGCTAAAAAAAAAAAAAATGCTTTACAAAAAGAAAACGTTCCCAACAAATTGAGCTCAAATTGAGAGCATGCCGCAGTGCTGTGTTCAGGGTTAGTAGGTCAGCATTGGCAGGCATAAAATTACAATCTTCTACTTCTGACAGGGCAGTCAGCACCTCACACTGATTATTTATTCTCTCGCTTTTAATCTATATACAGCTGCAGATTCTGTGCAGTGGAGGCTCAGTCCTCTGTGAAATGAGGGTCATATGTCTGGCTAATTTTCCTCCCGTCACATGCTTATCAACCACGGCTAGCACAAACAACAGCATGATCTCAGAGCGGGTCTGGTCAGCGCGCCCCATACGCCAGCTGATTGGATTTCTTTTACTAGCTTAACACTTTAATAGCTGTCAACAGCACGTCCAAGTTGTCTTGTAATGTTATGTAAGAGCCAGAGATGGGGAAGCTACCAAAACTGCTAAGCTACTCAGTCAGGTTGCTCTTTTCAGTGAGTCACACTACAAGCAAAGTAGCTAATAAAATTGACAGTACTGAAAATCTATAACTTCCCTTCATTTAAATTGAATCATTAACTAATTTTGTAGTGCAATTTGTAATTTAGTAGTGCAATTTTTAGTCAATGTATTACCATTCAAAAGTTTGCTGTTGGTAAGATGTTTTTTTAAGTGTCTAACAACAATACTACAGCGAGAATAAAAGTTACGCCTTCTTTCTTTGCGTGAACATTTGGGCGGCATTATGCAAATCTTCCCACATCGTGACATAGACATGTGGGGGCGTGTTAGATCGAGCCATTTTAGGTAGGTGTGGCTGACTCTTAACTTTTATAAAGAATATCTCTTTAGAATCTCTTTAGAACTTTACAGATATTCTTTATGCACCAAGAGCTTGTAACACTCCAAAGAGAAAGGAAAAATTGAAATCGCATCATATGACCCCTTTAAATGTGGCTTAAAAATACTTTTGGATCACGTTCAGTTTAGAGCAGTAGATGAAGATGTTTTCATTTAATCTGTTTGGACTGTCACTAAATAATTTACTTATTGCTAAAAGTAAAGAAAAGAACTTACTACTAAATTCATGATTTTTTTTATAAATGTCTATTTTTGATGTTTAAAATGTACATTCATATGAGACTCATGTCAGTAGCCTGAAGGTTGCGTCACATCTTGTGATCACATAAACAGCCAAATACTAGTTTTTCTCAGCAACCCCCACTGTCCAGGACAGAATAAATTAATCTTGGCTGACGGTGAATAGAGAATGTTCACATTTGCTACATTACTCCAAACCAACCGGTAAAACAAACCAAAAGACACGAAGTAACAGGTTCAGATACAAATCCACAAATGTTTACACATCTGTCTTTTATTCTCCTGGCTGCAATAATATGATGATTTTGAAAGGATTGGGGCCATAAAAGGACATTATTGTTTCCTCAGGTATTTCAGGTTTTTTAGATGCTAAATTAATCACATATTTCACTAATTAAGCTGCTTTTGACATGCACCACTTGTTCGAAAACAGTCTAGAGAGAAGGAGGAATTCAAGGCATGCCTTTCACCCTAAAGAAATTACATCAGAGAACTAAAACAGATGTTTTTCCACTCAATAAAGCAGCACCTCATCTCAGTCCGAATACATTCTTCTAACAGTTTCAGCAGTTAGATCATTTCATGCCTCTCAGCTGAGTTCAGGGATGTTTTGAGGTCATGTGGATGAACAAACGTCCTCCTGCAGTGAAAAAGCATGAGGCACAAAGAGCAGCTTTGAGACCCCATGACTGCGGGAGTGTCCCGCAAACATTGAGACATTAAGAGGACTATTCAAGACAGATCTTCACCAGATCACTCATTTGTGGTCTACTTACAAAATGGATTCAACTTCCTGACTGTCTTCCATCAAATCTGATGGATATCAAAATGAATTATTATTATTCATTTACCTACTTAGGACCATGTGATATTTCAGTTTTTCTTTTTTTAATAAATCTGCAAAAATGTCAACAGTTCTGTGTTTTTCTGTCAATATAGGGTGCTGTGTGTACATTAATGAGGAAAAAAAATGAACTTAAATGATTTTAGCAAATGGCTGCAATATAACAAAGAGTGAAAAATTTAAGGGGGTCTGAATACTTTCCGTACCCACTGTATATATATATATATATATATACACACACACACACACACACACACACACACACAGATCTATTTTATTTATTATTTATATAATACAAGATAAAAATAAATAAATAAATTCAAATAATAAAAATTAATTTAAAAGACATTTAGGACATTTAAAATACATTAAAATGTTTTAATCTAATACAATCTAATACTAATTAATTTTATTTCAGGTTAATTTCAATTAACAAAAATTATTTTTAATATTTTACATTTTTATTTTACAATAATATCACTTTGCACACTACTGATTAATCATCATAACTCTTAAAATGCTACAGTACATAGTTTTAACCCTGTTAAAATAATTCTGAAATGTAGAATTTTATTTTAACATAATCTGAAAAGATATAAAAATTCTGGTAGCATGACTTCGGTAATTTCTTATATTTTTTAATATGTATATATATATATATATATATATATATATAACTGATGACATTTTGCTTTCAGCTCCGTGTTGTCTTTTTCTGAGTTATTAACAGGGTTGAAGATTACAGTACAAAAATAACGAATAATGGACTTAATTATCAAATCACATATTTTATACTTTCAATTAAAAAGACCAAGTTCGGTGTCTGTCCATTTAATTCTACTGTAAGTAACAATTAATGAGGAAACGGATAACATCATTTCCTGAGAATGACCCAAAGACCTTGAGCGTTAACATCAACCAAACAAAATGAATGCCACAATATAACAAATGTTCAGTCTAATTAAGTCTGCATCCCAGCAGCAGAATCCACCTAATGAGCCACGCTCCTATAATGACCCTACAAAACTAATAACCATAACTCAGTAAAACACACTTAAATGTCAAGGCTAACTACTTCAATGCCAAGAGATTATTGTTTTAACCTTTACTAGTGCTGCTTGTGGAGGAGAGGAGAAGGATGGAGGCCTCTAGGCTTTCACAGGTGATCTTTTAAAAGGTTTGAAATCATCAAATATTCCCACAGATTTGTCACATGTTCTGTTTAAAGATGTCCAAAGATAATTCAGCCTATCGGTGGACTAACAAATCTCACTGGGAAAGAACTGACATGCTTAGCATGAACTCAGGCTCTATAGACTGACTGATTTATAGCGTAAGTTTAACCCATGTGCAGGGCTGCTCATGCCTTTGGGCTCATGACAGCCTCACAGACAGAAGCACAGTCACAGCACAGTAATCATGTCTGGTTATAGGGTCACAGACACAGCTGAGCAGCGGGAGATGACAGGCCAGATTCTGCTAGTGCTACTAACCCAAAGACCGAGCAATACATGTGTCTGTGTGTTTTGCACTAAAATTAAAGGGAATGTTCACCCAAAAATGAAAATCCTGTCATCATTTACTCACGCTCATTTCATTCCAAACTTGTATGACTCACTGGAATGAATAAGAAGATATTGTGAAGAGTGTGAGTAAACAAACAGTTACCATTCCCTATTGACTTCCATAGGATGGAAAAAATAGGCCTATCATAGAAGTCAATGGCTACTGTCAACTGTTTGGTTACCCACATTCTTCAAAATATCTTCTTTTGTGTTCAACTGAAGAAAGAAGCTCATACAGGTTTGGAACAAGCGGAGGTTGAGTAAATTATTATAATTTTTGGGTGAACTGTCCCTTTAAGGATAGAATACACTAAACGGCTTTTGCACAGATTTTTGACAACACCACTCTGTCAAGGGAAACAGGCACATCCCTGTGGCCTTACTCATGAACTGTTCAATGAATAGAAGTGAAAGAACACTGTCTAATTTATACCACCTCACCCCATATTGTCAGTAAAGGGTGTCGGCCATAATAAATGCGATAACCCCAAGCTCCTTTCACACTGATAGTGAATAACAGAGCGAAGAGGATAGCAAAATGGACAGGAAGCGAGGAGCAAAGGATATATTCGTTTTAAAGAATGGAGGGAAGGGTTTCTTAACTTGCTTCAGTTCTCGCTCAGTTTTCT